TGCAGCAAAAGCAAAGGCTCTGCTCAATGCAATTAAGATTGCAACTGTGTCTACCCTGTCTGATAAAGTGTCTAGGAAGCAGCAACGGAACAAAAATGTTTGTGCATTCTTATTTGCATCCAGATTGTCAGCAGCATGCTCTAAGTTTCACCAGTCTTTTATTTTCAACTTCACTATGCAATTAAAAGCAATTTAAGCATTAAAACTTCAGCAAACTTCCACTCTAAAAATCAGTATTGCTCTTAAGTGCTTTACCGACAGGGTAGCAAATTTTTCTTTCACATTATCCAGGCATTTAAATGAGAGCACATCCTGCATTAGGGTAGGTACTGGAGAGAGAAATGAATTCATTATGGCTTTCTACAACCTAAACTGGGCAACTCTTCTGAAAGCTGAGGAAGACGTGTCCTTAGGAGAAGAAACTGAACTAACCGAAATGGATCTTGCACAAAATTAGAAATTGCAAATCCTGTAGCATTTTATTCTGATATAAGTTACTGGAAGAATACCATGAAAAACCTTTCAGGATTAGCTGTGACAACATATTATTTGCTGGAGATAGCCTCCAAGAAGCCTGTTAACTATTCCCTTTGGTCCTGAAATGTTTCTTCAGTTTCAGAAAAAACAGATACAGACCATACGTAAATGTAAGGGCACAGTGCATCTATTTCCTTTTCACTGAGAGACAGATCTGCAATCAACTTTGCCCCTCCTATTTCCAATATGAAAGTGGAATCCTATATTCAAAAATACCTATAAGATCATTTGGAAATGTGACAGCAGTCCTTTTTGTCCAGATTTTTTGTTTCAACAGTAAAGGACACCAGATTTGTATATCACCATGAAAAAGCCCTCACCTTTTCAAGAGTTTGCCTCGAAAGTGAACTTAGTATGTATCTCTGATTTTTAAAGCATATCAATAGCTGCTTCAAGAAGAATATACCATCTAATTAAAAATTACAAAATAGATAAGGCCTGTGAAAAAAAGAACCTCTCTATCTCATTCAAAACCAGTTGAACGTTCTCCACGAAATTTCATTGTAAGTTATTTGTTTCACAAGAATGATTTCCCATTCCTCTTCAACTCAGTAAACAGGACATGCACACTGACAAAATTTTTATTTTTCTTCAGAAAAAATGTATTACTTAAAACTCTAAATCTCAAAATTATATTCTACAAAGCTAAAAAGAATAAAAGGAGTGACTGAAAAATAATGAAAAAGTAGCAATTCTTCAACTTTTCTATKTTTAATTGAATCAGTTATTTCTGTGTAATGTGGGAATAGAGTTATCAGAATCAGTAGAGAGCAAATGTTAATTATGAAGGCCAAGCACAAATGAATCATCTTACGTATAGACCCTGACACATTAGAACTGCAAAGCACTCTGCAGATCTTATTTTATGAAAATGTACTAAGAGCGCAAATGTATAGGCCCTTAGGAAGCAATTATCCCTAAAAGATTTAGCTATAATTCAATGTGAAATATAATAAGAGATTTTAAAAAATGGTTTCACAAAGAAGAGGATTATTTTACTTTAACTATGGAAATAAGGGACCACATGCTTCTCTGAATGACCCCTGTGCAGTTGTGGGCACTGCCTGGAGGGAAGATTTGAAATTGGCCTTTTCAGTCAATTAATACAATCTCCTATGACCAATAAGAACATTATAAAAATTAGGAGTGCCAGTTTGACATTGTGGGGCTGAATGGCCAACAAGGCCCTAAGACATTTTCTAAGCAATAAATACATTAAATATGGAAATTTTAAATCACGTACTACTAATACGTATGGAGAGATTAATTAAGAAGAGCTATCTTACCAAAGATGTGCAGATGCTACAGTAAGGTGAAATAGCACGTCATAATGTGAACAGCATGCCTTATGTGTCATATGTGTTATTTGTCACATTATCCACAGGTGTGACATGGAATGTAAAAGTATAAAACCAAAAAGTCTGCAAAAGAGATACAAGATAGAAATGCTTGTATCATCCTTGTGATTTCCAGATCCGGAATCTAGCCAAGTTACTGCGGCCACACCTCTCCCACAGTTATAATGTGTCTCCCTGCTGCTTTGCCTCATTCCTGACCATGGACTGCTACAGACTCAAAGAAAGGTGGCAGTAGCCTGTGAACTGATATATCAAAAAAAAAAAAAAATCGGAACACTTGCAGCTTATTTTACCTACTAGACCCTACCATCAGTAGAACGAAATAGGTTTCTTGTGGATTGGTCTTATACTTTTTCCCTTCCAAACAACTCACTACTGTGAGATGATTTTAAAAAGTAAAAAAGAAAAAACAGCCACTGAGTTTTGTTCTTAAGTGTATTTCAGGGTTCCATAGAGGTAATGATCTCATTTTTTATCACAAACTTTTCCACCATCCTTAATCTAACTGATCCTGATTACTATAMTTTTATCCAGTTAAGATTGCAAATATCCCTGCACCGCATTTGATGTTTACACTTGTTATTCCCTTAAGAAAATCTAAAGTAGATCAAATTTCTCATCATCAGAATGCATATTTTGCCAAACTGAATCAAGAGATTGCCTCCACATTAATTAAGAGTAGGAGAATAGGGAAAATTACAGTTTTAAATAAAAAACATTCTTGACACAAGCTGTCCTGGACAGACTCAGAAGAAATGTCTGGATACCTTCTGCTGGACAGGTTAATAACACATAGCACAGTTTCCAGTTTGCATGTGGAGAGCTTGCATGTTTGCATTAAGTAAATGTAGCACTCCGGATTATGTTGAAAATAAAAGTTGAGTTGATATTTACCCTGTACCACAGACAAAGGACATATTCTATTTCTCTGAAAATGGCCAAATGTCCAGAGAGTGCCCTGTGGTGGAGGGGGGAGACAAGATGGGATGGTCGGGTCTGTACAGGCACTCTGTGTGTCACCTTACAGAGCTACTGAGTGCATGCAAGAGGCAGGAGGTGACAGCTGCCAACACAAGGGTTCCACAGGGAGGTGTGTGCCCCATCAGAGGGCTCTGCCTGGCTACTCCTTCCCCTGGGAGCTGTGCCACTGACAGCTCTGCCTGGATATTCCTTCCTCTGGGAGCTGTGCCACTGACAGCAGCAGGACTGCCCCAGCCCCAGAGCACTGACCAAACCCACTCCTAAGCGAGCCACCGACATGACTTTCATCCTTACCAGACAGTCACTTTTCCAGGCTGTGGTTACACTCAAAATGGGTGATAAGTTTTCATTTATATGAGGTCAGGAGGAGAGCTCACGTGCTGTATATCGAAGAGAACTACTATTGGCGATATTTCACTGGGGCATTTTAAAGTTTTCAAGGTCAAGAATACAACTCAGCCTTTAAAAAAAAATTCCAAAGGACCTGCCCTCACTGTAGGCAACAGTAATATGAACTGAGGCAAACTCTACAGAGCTACAATATTAAAAAAGGTTCAACTTTGCCAAAAATTGAAAAGTGCTCTTTTTTTTCCTCCCAAGACTCTCATCTCTAAGAGACTACGATCAATTAACCTTTAACTTTGAAAAATAAAAAAATTCCTGTGACAGTCAGAAATGAAATTCTTTAAAGATTAGGTGCTGGGAGAGCAATATCAGGCTTAGAATGAAATCCTAGTAACACTCTGAACTATCAAATCACTTCTTGCTCTGAAAATATAATTATTCTGTAAGCATTATGTCAGACAATATTAAATGCAAAAAGTGTAGCTTAAATAATTTTTTTTCCTTACAGAAAGGCTCTGTGCATAATATTTTCAATGACACAGAAAAACCAAGTCAGCATGCAATTAATGAAAAACAACACTATGTTCAGTAAGTAGCATGCCTGGCAAGCACTAACTTCTAGTGATACCAGATTTAAAACAATGCAATTATTGCAGTCAGAAACAGCCCTGAATGTTTATGATCTCCATTTCTAATCACCTGTCTTCAGTATTGTACACCTGATTTTGCAATATTCACCATAAATTTGGATGGCAATTATAAACCCATTGAACATACAGCATTTGTGTGGTACACAGCCTCTCTCCATTTGTTATTATTATATTTATTGCTTTTCTTACTGAAAAAAATCAAACTACACAATGATTTACTTTTATTCTTATACTTCACTTTGGTCAAGTTTGTTATATGAATAATGATGTTTCCCAAATTAAAAAAAATATAAAAAGGAGACAGAGGAAAATCTATCTATAAATGAAATACCTTTGGACCTTACTGTCTAAATCAAACAGTTTTAAAATGACAACACAATATAAACAGAGTAAATTCTGTATTTGTATTGTATCTCCACTACTGATAAAAGACATTTTTAAGAATATAGTGGTTGAAGAGGTGTGCACAACACTTGCACATCTTACCTGGCACAGTCTCTTATCCTGGCTAGCGGTGAGATTGCTGGCTATGTAGCTATCAATTCCACTGACATTACAATTTCCCTTTCTCAAAGCAGCAATAACCTGTCACTTTACACTGTCCTTTCTCTGACCCTCTCCCGCCTCTCTGCTCATTTTTATTCTTATTGACAAGACTTATTATTCCTCCTCCCAATTCCAAGTAGCTACCCTTTTGCAAATAGTAGTATCAACTGTGTGGTCACTAGCAGTATCGGTCAACAATGTTATTAATATAGCACACACTGCTGGGAGCAGATCAAACAGCCATGCTTTAAAATATTAGTTTTGCAAAGGTATCATGAGGCAAATAGTTGCAGTTTTCTTCACCTTATACAATATAATTTGAAAGGACAGGTCTCAAAAATCTAGTGTTAATTGCCAGCCCAATAATTTGGAGGACATGTTATTTTTTTTCTTGTTGCTTTCATACATAAAATAAAATAAAACCATAACAGAAGGGTGCTGTATCTGTGTTTAAAGAAGCAGTTGTTGGCAAACACCATAGCTCACTTCTGCCGAAATGTACACAACTGATAWATGCAGCCCAGAAAGCTGGCACCAGGGGCTTACAACCTTAATTTGCCTGCAAGAAGAAATGGAGATTTACCTTCAGAGCACGTTCTTGATTGTTTTCAGCAGTCATATGTCTCGTGTTGTTTGCTGAAGTCTGGTTCTGCTCTTTCAGATGATGAAGCTCCTGCTCCAGCCGTTTGCACTGCAACGAGGAAAGAATCCCATTAAGTAGAAGAGTGTGGGCATATTTTTTTTCAACAAGCCAAACGACTTAACGTAAATAACCCCATCACCATTTCTGCAGTAGGGAAAGCATCAGACAAAAGCAAGTTACAATCCCAGACAGTACTAGAGCTACAGTTTTAAAATGTGTATCATTATTCAGTTTCTTCCTGGTCCAACTGTATGCCATAAAAGCTAATTATCAGATCAGATATTTATCAGAATGTTGGGTTGGATTTGTGCTCCTAGTTATGCCAATATATGGCTGGATTTTGTTTTTTACGTATTAAGTAAGTAGATACAAAGGAAATAGTGCATACTTTTTGAAATGCAAGCAAATGAAAGACTGTCCTCCCAAATCAAGGATCCAGCCTTTTATTGGAAAATATACATGAAATTTTTATACTTTTATTTTTCATGCAAAAAGGGTACTTTAATTCTCCAACACACACACTGTATTGAAAGAAGTTTTAAGATTGTTTTCTTTAAATATTTCACTCAATGACAAAAATTAAAAAATTAGCACTTGCTACTGTGTGCATATGCACATACTGCTGTCTGCTGAGCACAGGACAGTGAAATGAAAAACAGCAGTGGGACCCCAGGAACTCACAGAACACAGAACAAGTTAAGTACAGTAAAGATGCAGCACAGGTAACATAAAATGGATGAACCTCCTTATCAAGTCAATCTTGACATGATTCCATTTACATCAAACTTGGGAACATTTTGTAATCTCTCTTTCACTTTATTTCTATTTAAGAGTGTTGATAGCTGAAAAAAACCAGGGCATATTCAACTAGTATACTGCTTGAATTAAATTTGAGGCAGCATTGAAAGAAATGGTGATCTAATTTGACCTTTGCACCTAAGTGTTTCATTATATTGGAAACAATGTATTAACAGAAGAGATTCTGATTTATTCTCGGATGTCTAGGAGATAAAATCTTCAATGACCMTGTTTGTGAAAGCATTATAATAACACATTTAAGTAGCAACACTGTATGTCTTAGTARAATATTATACTTTACAACTTCAATACCTTTGACACTACTTTTAAAATATTAAAAGAGCATTCTAAAGGCAAGCACTCCTTTTCATAAGAGCAGGAGCAGATGAAATTTAATGTAATCTTGCTGTAAAGAAAATTTTAAAAATAGAATTTAAAACAATACAGCCCTTCTATTCATTTGAGCCAACATTTTTTGAATTCTGTGTCACTGATTGTTAGCAAGGTCCAATAAAAATAGATGTTCTTTAAAAGAACATGTGTTTTTATTGGTTCACTCCAGGGCTCCAAAATGCCAACAGCTGCAAGTAAGAAACTGAGTTTCCTTCTAAAAACATATAAAAATACTTTTTGGAGCACACTGAAGCGAAGACATCATCTGACTTGGTACTGACAAAAAGGAAATGTTGGATGTATCCTTTTAAGAAAGCTGAAAGCTAAAGGAAGTGTTTAATTTAAAATACTATGTCTAAATTCCGTTATCTCAAACTTGTGAAAATTCACACTTGGGAAAGCTTGAAACAGACAATATATTTTGTGCAACACAGGTTACCTAAACATCTGATATGAGGTTTAATTGTGCCCTTAAATGCAAATTCCCACGAGGTCAACACTTTATGAAACACAGGCTGTTAACTGGGAAAACTGCTTCCCTACCTCAGACACTTTGAATACATCAAGGAACATGAGAGCAGTGTAGACACATGTCAACAAGAAAATGTCTTGATCAGAACACGAAGGACTTCACAGAGTGAAGGATATTAAAACCTTAGAAATGGTAATGTAATTTTGTAAAGATATCACACAAACAATTTACTAAACATTAGTCTTACTGTGTGGTCCACTGTGTGAATTCAGAGTTCTGTAGCCAGACAGGCAATACTTCAGTACATAAAAATCCACCCCCAAAACCAATCCTGAGGTTTCCTCTCTTCTTTCAAACCCAGACATTTGTTCTCCTCTCTGAAGGAATTTCTTTCAAAAAGTCTCCCACCTTAGCTAGCTGGATTCAGCTGATAATGTACTTGACTGACAGTGAACCTCATGAAGGCTACTCCAAGTGCTCCTTGAGCAGCCCTCACCACCCAACTGTACAGTCACTACAGCATCATCCATTCCCAGCAATGGGGCAACAATCTTCTCTTTAAAGGTATTTCCACCGTGCAGCTCTTCTAAATACACTCAGTTTTTTGAAACAAATACCTTTGTACTCAGCACAGGAAATATCACAARCAGCTAAGACACAAAATGAAAAGCAAAGCAGGTAACATACCAAAAGGATAAGAAGAGATTCACGCAGGGAAGCAAAGATAGACAGCAAGCAAACATATACTTCCCTCCCATCTTAAAATTTAAACTATTAGGCTACTGTTGAGTCTTTTTTTAATGAGCATCAGGTAACATGATTCAGCAGAATGAGGATGGTTGTGAGAGGCACCACTTCAAGCAGCAGCGGGTGCTGACCCTTTTCAGTGACTCTCCAGGTGGGAGTGCTGGAGTGCAACAGGGAAAATCCAGACAAATTGCAAAAAGGAGCAYCTGTTAAAGGAGACACTGATGGAGAGGTAAGGAAATGGACCAGGATAATATCACTGAGTAAAGTMCATGAGGCCCACCCAGAAAGTGACTGTTAAAATACAGCCCCAGTTCCAGTTATAGAAAAGGAGTAAAAATGATTTACCTTGAATCAAGTATTTCAGAAGATAGAAAAAATAATGCAAATAACCACTTAATAGTGTTTGGCCTTTACTAGAAAATGAGGTTGCATTAACATATCAAACATAACTTTAGCACTTGTATAAACAAATCATCTTTAACTTGCTGTCAGCTTTTCAGCATTTTCTTCTTCAACTTGTATCTATAACATGTTAACATGGTGTTATGGTGCCTGCCACCACTACAGACTGATGAGTTATTTTTTCATAGTTATTTAACATGATTCTTCAGTATGATGTTCCCACAGTAAAAGGTTCAGACATAACACAAAAGCAAAGAAGAACTTGCAAGGCACTGGAGAAATTATTTCAGTAGGGACAAAGATGGAATACAGCAAAGCATTAAAATCGAGCAGAGCAATCCCCTGCCCCAACTATTTGGTCCCTGTGTGGTTTGTTTGGATGAAGACCAAACATATCCTGAGAGGTCTCATGCAAAAACCTATCTAACTCTGCACTTCTCAGGTCAATCMGGCTGTTCACGTGCTTTCAAAGAGACATAAATGTTTTGCTACTCTAGGATCTCTCACTCTCACTGAATTGAACTAGGATGGCAATATCAGGTGAGTTTCTTATTTTTTATTTCAGCTCAGATTTGACCCAGAAAAGGGTACTGTGACATTCCCTGGCTCAGGAAGCAACAGCTAAAACTGAATATAACAGAAAACCCTAACGCTTCCTTACAACAAATGCAGTCCCGGTGGCTATTTAATCCTGTTACATCTATATTTGCTTTTAATATTACTGTATGGCACRTCATATTTTTCATTGCCTTTCATTAAAAGGAATCCAAACTAACCTCTCCTGAACTTATGGCAATATGCTAGGGAAAAAAAAAGTCAACACATTATGCCATTTATATGCTAGGGAAAAAGGAATTGAATTGTCTCTGTTATTGCAGGTATGGGGGTCAAAGTCTAATGAAAAAAATGCACTAAGATGAGGCAAACTCTGTACAAAGTTCTTTCCTGAATTCTGAATAACATTTGTTGTTTTATTCGGTTAGMATGCACAAAAGATAYTATTTAACGAGAATACATTGGTTCATCTAAAGTCTTTATCAAAAGTTGAAGCCTKAAGAATCAGTACTGGCACAAACACACAGGAGCACATTGAGGAGCTTGCTGAAAAAAAATGGCAGTGCCTAGATGGAGATATTGCAATATTCTTGTTCCTGTACTGACCTGAGTGAGGTCAGGATGGCGAGGCAGGTGGATCTTTGGTCTGATCTGTTTGCAGCAGTCTGAGGAGGCTGCCCTAGTTTAAAAATACATAACCACAGTCTCCCACAAATAGATTAATTCTGTCACTAAACTTAAGGTAATGTATCTTTATTCAAGTCGCAGAAAAATCAAAAGTGAGAGCTAAGTCACTCAGTCTGGGTCAGCCAGTGCATAATGACTTGATTGCACATCAGTGCCTTCACTTCAAACAGTGAGTACTCTGCCACTTTCTGTGGACTTTTACRCCTGAAGACCTTGCTAAACTGGAATTCTCAATTACTGAAGTAGAGTGAAATRAATATAACCTAGTTCCTACTGAATAACTTGGGAAAATGGTTTTAGTTCTCCAAATTATGGGAAAGTCAGAGTCCAGAATGGCAGAACTATTATGCAACATGCATTTCTTCCTTTATGCATTTAAAGCAAAATGCTCATGAGCAAAGTGACACACCATACTTTGATGGAAAATGCACCAATACCATTGAAAGGTAAGTTTATGGGGTACTGAGATCCTACTACTACACAGCATAACACTTTCAGAAGTGAAAAGTGCATCTAGGTCTTGAAATTAGTTAACACATATTCACTGCAGTAAACTGAAATACAAATAATTATTTTAGACACCAAACATGAAAAAGACGATGAAACAAAGCTACTTTTTCACTTTATATTTTTGAGTCTTCACCTGTGGAAACCTGAATACAATAAATAACCATGTGAAGCAAACAAAAACAATTCAACTGATTCTTCTCTTAGCTGATTAATTTGTTCATTTTTTTCTTACTTTGTTTATAATGATCTGTACTTCAGTCTAGCTCCCAGCTCAAATACGCCGAATGGAATGCAAGTGTTCTCACTTTGACTGCCCTTCTTCCCCCTCCCCTCAATTTTTTTTTTTTTTAACAGTCTGCCCCTTGTCCCAAATTCATCACAATTTCTGGAGAGGCAAACATCTTGCGCCACTTGGATGCTATACACTCTTTCCTTTGCAGACAAAAATAATACCAAAGTCATCCAGTCAAAACACAAACCA